TTTCTACTCACCAGGAACACTAGCACTCTGGCAGTGTGTGACCCTAAAAAAGACAGCCTATCTTAATACAGGTTAAGTACATGACAGTTCCTTTTCAGTTTAAGTTGTCGTTTGAGCAACTATCAGCGTAGACAGCTGTTTGGCCAAACTGGCTTCTTTCAATCCAACTGAGATCATCTAATCTCAGCATTGTAAATAATTATATAGTAAACATGCATAACCCAGAGGATGCTTTAATAGAAGAAATTCATCCGTGCTCAGCAGTGTGGAAAGATGATAATCATTCTGAAGTGTATGCACAGCCTAAGAGTCAAGTAAAGATTCACCATGACTGCATAGACACTAGACCCAAAAGGACAAGAATTTTGCATGACCTGGTGCCTCTGAAACCACAAGCCTCAGTTCACCAGCAGCCTGCAGAGCTTTGTCTGCAGGAGTTTAAGAATTACATATTTTGAGAATAAATTCTCAGAGGACTGGAGTGCTTCAGTGTTCAAGACTTTCTGTTTCATGAGGTGTAAAGTTGCAGAATAAATCAGTGAATCACTAGTTTAGATGTTTATCTCCAAAAGCAAAATGCAAACCATTTCTACTATATCACTGCATTTCTTAAAAAGAAGAAAAAACACACTCAGAAGATCCTCCCATCTGCTTTCTACTCTGCTGTGTCCCTGCTTGGATTGCTTCAAAACTAACAGCTTCTGAACAAGTTCAGAACAGCAAATACCCCACAGAGCTGTTGAACTAAGTTTCAGAAATTGTCAGATACAACCTCATGAGAATTTACCTAGAGGCAGAAGCGAGAGATCGGAAATAAAGCCATTGCCATCCTTTCTCACTAGAAATATTTCACAATATTAGAAAAATACCTAGATGTGAATATATTAAAACTAAAAGAAATGCATTGAAACAATACAAAAACTCTGGCTTCACACGGATACATAGTTTCAGTCTTTAACTCATCTCAGTCCTCCTTTAATGCCTTTTCTATAATATTGTTTCCCTTAAGGCAAACACTGTCAGGAACAAGAAAATCTAAGTATAATGGGGTTGCCTCTGAGAACTTAGGCTCATATATAGTGCAATCAGTCCTTTCTACGGACCGAATTAAAACTCACAATCATCAATTTACTGTAATCAAGCAATGACCTCATACTGTTACCGAAAGTACCAGTAGCTTAGTCACCTAGTCACTTCTCAGTAGGAAACAAACAAACAAACAAACAAACAAACAAAAAACACACAAAAAAAAAAAACACACAACTGACCCTCCTAAAATGGAGCTCCTAAGATACTGCGTCCATCTGAGGTGTTTGCCACAAAGCAGTTCACTTAGAAACAAGGGGTTCCTGCCATTAAACTCTTAATAACAGCATATTAAGAGTTCATTTCCTATAACGTGGTGAAAGGAGGGCGCTAACTGCTATATGTATTGCTGTATAAGTTCTTTGCATAGTTGCTGGATCTTGTACCAGCCAAGAAGCACAATCACACACACGTATTAGCTGTACAGTGACGGTACCCTTTCAGAAAGGATTATTCCACTGACACATGTCCCCTATTATGTCCTAAAAAAAAAAAAAAAGCAGCAAAAATTATTTAGTAATTGTTTTTTCCAGGGAAAGAATCTAGTGATGCGGAGACCTCTGAGGGGGGCAGTCCCCCCCAGCACAGTATTCTCTGAAGGGCTGAAATCCAAACAAGAGTGTGCCTGGGAGGGAAAATAAAAGAGGGAAGATAGAAACAGATGCATTAAAAGGGAGAAATATTCTCTTTGTATACAGACTGATGATGAAAGGGAGGGGGAATTATGATGATTTCAAAAAGCCACCTTGAAAACAAGGAGAAAAAATCATGTTACCAGAAAGGAAAATAAACAAAACTGTCCTGGCAGGAAGCACGGCATCTGCAGTGGGCCCCTTACATGGCAAAGCCCTCAGAAATCCAAGTCTTTTGTTTGGATTTCACGTTATGTGGCAAGTGAGAACAACTGCTCTGTACGTCTTTGTGGTTTGCCCATCTTACCCTTTTACGTTAGGGAATTTCGCATTTCTTTTGTTTTTATTTTTGGAGGGGGGGGAGCATAGCTTGTCCCAATGACTTAGCCAAGCAGGCAGTACGCCTGACACCAACAACCAGTCTCCCTTGTATTCGACACAAAAAGCCTTGGAGATGAAACTATTCCCTACAGAGCAGCAGGTAGACATGTGTGTCTTGCAATGGAACAGGCCCAAAAATCATTGTTCAGCTGCCTAAAACATGAAACAGTTTATAACAACATCTTTTTATGGTAGATTATGCTAACAAATCCTCTTAATTTATTCAGAGAACCAAAATTTCTCTTAACCAGCAGGCTCTGCCCCCTCTGAGTTGTGCCTCTGACCTTGCGACAAGCCTGAGACCATGTAAGGATGTCCTTGGAGTCCCCCAGCCCTGAGGGCAGGACAGGGCCGAGCCCAGGCCAAAGCTGCTCAGGGAACCTTTCACCCTCCTGAAAACCAGCTGCCAGGAGGAACGTGCACAGTGCAGCAGCACACGTGCAGGTACATTGCTATCTGTGGGTGACAGAGGCAGCGTCACTCAGCTGTTGGGTTGCCCAGGCTCACAGTTATGCCCATGTCAGAGGACTGGGTTTGCTTCGTGCACACAAACGTGCCTGAAGTTTGACCCCCCCCACTAACTTACCCTGGTAAATTAAGTTGTAAAATGGTTTACACTGCTTTGGATGGGAATATATTGCTTCACACACTTAATTATGGGCACTTTCTCTCACAGGAGCCACCTGCTCCCCCTGCACTATAATTCCGATGCCAGGGCAGCGTTTGGTTGCAATTCTTAGGCAACAGTAAAAGCGCACTGCTCCCAGGTCTCCACATGCTGATAAGCTATTTAACCAGTCAGCTATTTTTAGCTCTGCCAAGCAATCAGGATGCTGTTCATAAACCACTTCACCTTAAAATATAATTGCTTTCCTCAGATGACATTGTCATGCTCTGTACTTTTCACCTTTAATGTGAAATTTCAAATAAAGGAACTAGATAAGGTGGCTTATTGTGAGGGTAAAGATGGTTCTTGGTCAGAGTGGAAAGATGAATGTGTGCTTAAGTTTTAGCTTAATGATACCAAGTGATTATCACTGCTCTTTGTGAAAGATGTTGAGTCCTAATGGATGTTAAATAACAGGGGGAAGCAAATCAGTCAGACGCAATTATCAGGGCAGCGCTGCCTGCCACTCGGTATTTTTGAGGCAGCCCATCTTGGAAGATGCCCTCATTGTGGCTGCAGCACCTCAAAGCCACGCAAGAGCTTCATTCAGCTGATTTAAGGGTTGTATGTTCAGCATGCAGCTGCCTGCAGGAAGCCTTCAGGGCCTATGGCCTGCCCACGGCCTCAGAGCAGCTCTTGCACACTGCCAAGCCCAGCTTTAAGAGTACAATCTCCAGTACCGGATTACACCCATCTACATGCCCACCTCTTTCTGTCCTGCTAGACTCCTACCAGCATGTTTTCTCTCCCCCAACCCCTCAGATCCCACACTCACCACCTCCCCCCCAGAAGTACTTTCACTCACTCCAGTTCTCTACACTAAGATGCGGACGTTCAATTGAACTGTCCGCAGCCAGCTTTACTCTCCCTCATCCCCACAAGCCTTAGCACACAGCATGCTTAGGAAGAACGAGGCAAAGCTCAATCCAAGAGTTCAAGAGATTTGTAGACAAGTCCAATGCCTGCCCTGATCCGTGGGATGTTCATGTGAGCCAGAGAAATGGCACGTACAGCAGTTACCTTGGGTGTTACAGTGTCTGAGGTGCCCTGGGCCTGTTATCCATACAGTGGCAGGCTCATTTATGGAAGAGAATTTAAAAAAATAGGATATCAAGTGATCCAATGTCTTGATAGAAAATTGACAATAGAGACAATGCCTCTGTTCTTCAAGAATGGAGCAACAAGCCATGCTACATTTGCCTTTCCAAAAATCAGAACAGGCACAGTTAACCCCACAAAGTAGCAAGAGAAATCTTCCTGTATCACAAGACACCTTCATCTCCAGCACATTTTTCGACTGTCACAGTCACATTTGCAGAAAGGATTCATCTTTATCTGAAACTGTAATTGAATGCCAGTAGTTACCTTGGTGACATTTAAAAATCTATTGCTGTGCTTTGCTGTCAACACTTTATAACACAATAAAGTGCCTCATGGAACAAGTCAGAACACAGCTTAGGAAATAGTTCCTATGACAACTATATAAATTGAGGAGATGGCAAAGATCCCAAAATGTCAAATGGACAGTACCACGCAGGTAAAGAAAACCCAGGCTGAAGTCAGTGCTGTGCTGAACTGCCGCACAGAGCCTGGTTCTAGCCACGTCTGTAATTAACCAGCCCGCGATTCTCTAGCTGCTCCCATTTGCACTGAAAGTGCTGAGGACTCTGAAATTTGTTATGCAATCAATCTGGACAATTTCAGCAGACCTCTGCTGGGACTAATCATTAAGAATGAGGAAGAATCAATTCCTGCGAATAGTTTGTTGTACTTAAAATATTTAAAACAAGTGGAGAATTTAATTAAGCGTCAAAATGCAGGATTCCCATTCTGCTTATTGCAGCGTGCCCATTACTTTCAGATGCCAGTACAGAACAGCCCGGAGAGCACATTCACCCTTTGTATTTACAGATTTAGTGTTCCTCAGTTACCCAGAGATGAATTTCTCTCCTTGTCACTGGCCCACAGCTGTATGCTCTTGGTCTAAATGAGAACTAGAAGTCACAGCCTGCCACAGCCGTGCCTGCAAGCTGCAGCCTGCTCACAGCCTGAGCGGTCCCCAGCTCCTTTACCAGGAAGCAGGCAAGAAACAGCTCACAAGGAGGAGAGGGGTGAGGGCACGCCATGCGTGGCAGTTGTGCACACGTCAGCGTTACAGCAAACATGTGTAGCTCTGCACAGCTGGGAGAAGACCTTGGCTGAAGCAGAGGATGGCTGAGGAAAGCAACCCATACCTTATGCCCTCAAGATTGCCTACAGCTCCATCTCTTCTTCAGTTCTTCCTTTGCCTTTCTCTTCAAGTTTGCTTGGCCTCTCCAGCCTTGCCCAGGTTCTTCTGTTCCTTCCCAATCGCCTGAAAGAGCAACTCTCCTCCCCAGCACATGGGCCTCAAGTGCTTCTGCCACAGACCATCTGGGGTTGGGACACAGAAGCATCTGGACTGTTGGCCCCTAAAGAAGGTAATTATTTCTTTTGTTGTAAATCAAAAACTGAGAACCAGTTTGTTTGGTAAATCCCTCAAAAATTTGCTGTGGCCTCCCTCCAGCCATCCCTTCATGTGAGAACTGTACACATCCTCTAAGGCTGTCCAAGAACCATGGAAATGAATTTAGGACTCAGGGCCAAGTGACAAAACCCAAGTCAAACCAATGCTAATACAGCAACAGTGCCTTGTTCATGTGCTAATAAGCCCTTCTTTGGCAAAATCAGGAAAACGCACCCTCCTCTGAACGCAGCTATGCTCCCAGTATGTTGAAAGTCAGGTGCCTTGCACTGAAGTGCAGTGACCTCTGGCTGGGCTTTTTGGCACTCCCTAGAAATGTCTTTGCCACATTTTCACTTGAACTTCAACCTGAGAGAAGAGAAAGCCATAAGCAAAACTGATAAAAACACATGCTGGTGAAAGACAAACGGGGTAAATGAAGAGATTACATTCTTGCCCTCTAGTAAAGTTTTTTGTTTTTTTAACCTTAAAGCCACCCCTGAGTACAGAAAATCCTGCCACTAGAGAACACAAAGGATAAGTCATTTGCATACAGAATAGGCTCGCAGAAAATTAAACTGCTGTGGAAAACTAGAGCTTATTATGCAAGAAATGTGATAAGCTAAAACATACAAAAAATCCTCCTCAGGATCTGAGCAACATGAGCTAAAAATACCTCTATCGTGTGTCATTTACAAATTCAAAGGGTTGTTTAGGCTGTGTTTAGATTGTGATCAAACAACACTCGATACATTTTTTTTTCCCACTTATGATTAAAGATAGTGCCGGATTTTAGGTGTTCTGATTGCTTTCCCTCCCTTCATTTTATTGCTATTTTTAGTTTGCACTCAATGTTCCCTGCACCCTTGCTAAAAGCAAACAGCTCGGGGGGGACTAAGGGAATGCATGGTTATCGCACACGTTGCCCACTCTTCCTAATGACAGGCACAGGACACGAGGCAGGAGCCACTGCACCAGAGCAGCGGGGAGAGAGCATCCCTGATTTACTGATTTACACAATAAAGGGCTGAAGACATCATGTTCCCAGCCTCTGTTTGTGTTCACATGCTCACATCTGTGCTTTGCAGGTGCAAGCAGTATGTCGGGCTGTTAGCCACCTGCACACACCTTTCCAGCAGCACCAGGTGTGTTCAGATGCCGCAGACACCTCTCGTGCCAAGAAGGTTTCCAGGCTCTGGTGCAGCAAGCTGCCAAACATTCCCAGCTTCCCGAGAGCCATTGGCATGCAACACTTGGCTGGCATTATGCCGCACAAGGTAGCATCGTGCTCTGAAAGTGGCCCAGCACTGGGCTAGGTGACAGCTAACATGGGCAGGTGTCCTGGGGCAGCACATGAGAATTGCTGTGCAGGTGCAAGGGTTTATAATTAAAAGTCTCAACACAAGTCTCCAGACTTTTCCATCTTTCAAACTGCAGAAAAAGAGTTCAAGAACCTTTCATCACGGCGATGAACATAAATTACCATCATTTTTCTGTTATGCAACGTGATTCATCCAAAGCATGCACTGGGCTCATTCCAGTTTCCACTGAAGTCAATACAATTGTGAGTGTTCAGCACCTCTGAAGAATCAGGACATGCTTATTCATGGGTATAATTTATGGTACCCAAATTAGAACGGTCTGTCCTTAAGTTACCATTGCAGAAAAACATGGCTTCTTACTCCTTTCCCTTTTTCAAGGGATATTAATGGGGCAATACTGGAATTTACCCCCAGATCTTCAATCAAGTTCCTAGAACTGGTCAAACTTTCATGAACCAGAACACAACGTTTGAAATACTGGCTCCAGAAATGCCTTCCACCCACCCATTAGATCAAGTGAGCTCCAGGATGATTGGTTTTACCTATGTGAGCCCTTGCCTCCAGGAGGTTTCACAAAGGAGTAACTTCCACAGAGATTTTCTAACCCAAACTTATTACAAGTTCTAGATGAAGAAAATCCATCATCTAGCAAGGCCATCTGGAAAGCCAAACCAGAAATCTGTGAGTTAAAAGCAGCAGAGTAGGAAGTCTGTGCTGACAGCTCTGCTCATCCTGGTGGCCACGTGTCAGTGAAGTACTAGTTATCATCCCTTCTTTATATGCCTGTTAGACACAATCCCTCTTTCCTTCAGGATTGTGCCATCAAGGATGGCAATAAAAATCCTAAGACCAATCCTGGGTTTCCTACACATCTTTGAAAGACGCACAGGAGGAGGCAGCAGTTTGTGGGTCTGACCAAAGAGCAAACAGCACAGCCTACGTAGATGGCTTGAGCCCCCATGACCCCAGTGTGAAGCCACAGAAGGAATGTGGGGCACTACAGAAACTGGCCGAGCCAAGCTGCAGGTTGCCAAGAGGTACAGCTTGGTTCACCTTAATCTCATAGCATGGCACCATGCTGCCAGAACAGGAACAAGACCACAAACAGCAATGCTGCCCCTTGCACCTTCGCAGCTTCCCCTATTACAGCTGCATCTCCCTAGATCTCCTCCCAGGGAAGCACTGAAGAGGAGGGAAGTCCAACGGGCTCTGCTCCTGTAAAGCAAGCAGAGCAAAGTCTCTTTTCTCCTCTGCATTCCCTCCCAGAGCAGGGAAGGAAGAGTTAAGCAAAACTCTTGGGCTGGGAATACACCAGAACCAGTAGGAAGATGATATTTTCCTTACACCAAATTAACAGATCTTGTTTTTATCCGGTCCCCCGGGCCCCACACAGAGGACGGGCAGATGGATCCCGCCAATCACTTGATGCCACAGTTGCACCACACAAATGTGCTTGAAGGAAAACTCCTGCAGCACTAAGAACGAGGCTATTATAGGAGTCCAGAAACAACAGCTTGTATGTTCGCATTTCTATTCCAAGTTTCAGATTCCTTCAGAAAACAGGAGACCAATCTAATCCTTTTGACTTTGAATCCCTTCGAGGAAGGCTGCCCGATGTGCTGTCAGGCTGACAAGGAGACGCACACCTTGCTCCCCTAAGGCCAGCCTCATGCCAGGTCCACCCTGCGTCCTGGGCTCTGAACGTCAAGGACTTTGCAGGTATCAGACAGCATAAGAGAGCGATTAAGCAGAGCTGGCACATGCCATAGAATAGCTAAAAACCCCAAAGCAGCACTGAGTTTCGCAATTGCAGCATTTAAGTTAAAAATACCAGGGTGGTGGAATTACATAAACTGCAATCTTTACCAGTTTCTAAAGGCAAAAATCCAAAATGGCCTAAAGCACACATGGGTAAGTCACCTGATGGAAAGAAACCTAAAAACACCATCCTGAAACCCCACATGAGATGTCATTTCTTTCATTCATTCAGGAATGAGATAATTCAAAGCTTTGTGCACAGACAGCTAGCAGCGGGTGCTGGAAAGGTATGAACCTTCAGGAGGAGCACTTATTCCAGAAACAGGCTGTTCCTTCAATATCTCCTCAGTCTCTTTATTCTTTTCTCCATGCCTTCCAGCTCTGGTCTCCTCTGCCCCCTGAAGAAGCCTTTGCACCCTTCCCTCCCCAGCTCTGTGCTCTGCTTGTAAACAGATCTGTCCCTATACCAGGGACAAGCAACATATGGTCCTTAAACACCTTCCCAAATGGAAAGCTTCGCAGCTAGAAAGAAGGTCACAAACCTGAAACAGAAGTTTTGAGAAATTTCTGAAGCCAGATTGTTTTTTAAAGGACTTCATCAGGGACCAAAAGTACCATTAAACAGAATTGAAAAGGTTTTCCATATTTCAGCTAGTTTACAGAAATAAAATGAGATGGGTTTTCCCACACCCTACTTAAATCCTACACATTTAATAGGTGTCAAGCCCTTCTCAAAGGGCCTCTGACTCTCTAAACAAGCCATACATAGCACTTATAACAGCTTCCTATACCTGCAGCTGCTGTACAGGCAGGCACCTCATCTCTTCTCAAGCTTGGTGTACTCAACCATAGAAGTGACAACAATATTTAGCAGTACTCATTTCACAGGAGGAGGTGTGGAGCTGGTTTGTAAGGCAGTGATTCACTAGCAGGGCTCTAAGTGTAGAGATGATAGGAAATTGTTCTTTTATTATTGCTAACCCGTTAATATAGTTTCATTATCTGCAAATGTAATGCAGCTCTCAAAAGCAGCTAGCAATTAAGAGCACAAAAGGCAGGAAATCCTTTACATTAAATCCCCAGCAGCAGACTCGTGCCAGTAACTCAGAGCAGCATTAGCCCCATGTACACAGCGAAGCCTGAAGAATAACAGAAGAATCTTCTGATTCTCCAGCAGCCTTGAATCCTGCATCATTTTTGGACCAGAAAGTCTGATATTTGCAAGAGGAGCGATCTGTACGTGAAATTGTAATGAGGTGACTGATGATCGTTACCTTGGTGACATTTAAAACTCCGGCACTGAGCTTTGCTGTCGGCACTTTATAACACAATAAACTGCCTAGCAAGGGAAGTCAGCTCATCACTCAAAACGTGCTCCCATGACAACGGAGGCCTTCTTCCCACCTCGCCGGGGCTGGGGCCGTCGCTGGCCAGCAGACCCTCAAGAAGCTCAGCTTCCCCAGCAGGAGCTACTGCGGGACTGCTGGTCCCTTGGGAGCTACCCGAAGGATTTGGCTGCTGGGGCTGCTACATCTCCGCCGAGATTTTCTCTGCCAGAGCCACGCTGCTGAGCTCACAGGCTGACAGAGCAGAAAGCACAGACCAGGCTTTAGCAGCAGAAGCATGGGGGAGAGATCCCAAAGCAGAGGCAGAGAGCCCAGCAGTACTGCTGAAGTACTTCTCACTCTTTTCAAGTCACACATCGGCTGTTTCTTGTTTCCCCCACTGCTTTAGGGTCAGAAGCAGCACTGGTGCTGGATGCAGTAGAGCTGAACACCAAGGAGCAGACGTAGGCCCTACTTTTAGAAAGGGGATTCTTGAAAGTGACCTCAAGAAGCGCCCAAATCCTTCCCCCCATTTTAAAGTCCCGATGGTCATT